GGTGTCTTATATTGTATTTAGGTTTCCTTCCCAAGTCTCGTATATGCTTTATACAGACTTTAGGTGCAAGTTTACGGTAGTCGAACATCGTTCCGGAGTCTTCTGATCGATATTTGATTCCGTCAATGTAGTCATCCGTGTCCGTTCGGATCCGATCGAACCGGCTACTTTTATTCCCGGAGCCTAGACCCTTCACGTGAGGTGTTGCGGCGCGAGGATCAGTGTCAACATGGTTAAACATCCTGTTGTTCGACCGTATATGCCATTCTTAGCATGTATACAGGGCTCGGAACCCTTCCCCTTGGTTGGGAACCGACACTAAGTGACTGATAACCCTCGGATACTGGGCTGCATTGTTTTCTACAGGGTGTTGTACCTCAGTACAAGTTGTATATAGGCCTCAGTATGGAGTACCACTATACGAACCTGCTTCGAAGCTCCCCTAAGGTGTCCGACGTTCAATGACTAACTGTTCGGGCTCACAATAGTCCTTTTATACAGATGTCCTTAGTGTATATGGTCATGATATATGCATAAAATGCGATTTTCATGGCCAGAATTGTACACTGCTTATCACCGTCTTTTGTATAATAGATTGTACAACTATCTGAAGTGTTATGCCTGGTATATGTACAGACTTTCCTCAACTCAGAACCTTTCTTGAACCCTGTTCGTGCTCGTAGGGAATATTCCGCTGAAGGCACGTGATTCCTCATAGTGTCTGATCACCATGTTTCCCATTGAATTTCACAATTCTGAGGAAACAGAATTCAGCGTGACGGTAAGCTTTATGTGGCTGTATCTGGGACGTTGAAGGAATCATGTTGGTTATTATTTGGCACCCTGCCTCGCAATCCTCTCGCACCTCAATACCATCCTCACAGCCAGGAGAAAGCACCATGGTGTACAAAATACGCGTTGAACTTCTTGGGTGACCAACAGACATATATTTGGTGAGATGGGGCTACTCTCCGTGGTGCACTGGCCATCCTGACACCAGGGGCAAAGACCGAGGCACCTGGCCGCCAAGTGCAACCTACGCATGTGGTCGGCACTTGTCTTTGATCTTTTGATCAAATTACGGCTTAAATCAACTTACATACAAAAAATGCATAATTTCATTTCCTAGTAATTTTCGTGATCTTTCATTGTACACATGAGTAAAACAATACCTTTGTCTTTGACATCTTATGTCTTTGAACTACTCTTTGACGGTCTTTGTATTTATAAGGTGGCTGTAGTCTTTAAGATAGGTTTTTGTCTTGAGTGAAACAGCCTTGCCTCATTTGCCAGCTTTGTCGTGGATCTCAGTGTTGCAAGTCCTCGGCAGGTGACAAATTTGGGTGTATCTTAGGCAAAATTTCCCCCTGCCGAGGACCTATAACACTGACATCCACGACAAAGCTGGCAAATGGGGCAAGGTTGTTTCACTCAAGACAAAGACCTATCTTAAAGACCACAGCCACCTTACAAATACAAAGACCATCAAAGAGTAGTTCAAAGACATAAGATGTCAAAGACAAAGGTATTGTTTTACTCATGTGTACCATGAAAGATCATGAAAATTACTAGGAAATAAAATTATGCATTTTTTGTATGTAAGTTGATTTAAGCCGTAATTTGATCAAAAGATCAAAGACAAGTGCCGACCACATGCGTAGGTCGCACTTGGTGGCCAGGTGCCTTGGTCTTTGCCCCCGGTGTGATCTTCGGTATTTTGTGCCACTGCTTTAAAATTAATTTGGGTATAATGACCAGCGCTTGAACTAGAGGAACACACCCTGGTGCAAGGGGATTTGGATCTGTCAAAAAACCCACTTGGGCCGTATTTTTTCGTTTGGACCTTCTCGGCGGATCTACCACGTGACACCCATATCGGGTAATGTTCCCACGTCGGCCGGTCTAGAAGTTCATCAATTTGCGTTCACAAGCTGTACCTTTGGTTCTACCATCCTGCAAAAGCATCTCGTTCAACTTGCATTCGACCTTTATATCCTCTATAGGTAATTGAAGGCTTCTCAAGGACTTCAGTGACTTGGAATGTGTCAAATTTCAGGTTTGACAGGGCTTGCTCTTCCTCTGCCAGTGCGGCCACCAACCAGCATGAATTGAAGGTAAGAATTTGTTATAAGAATGAGTGATTTATTCTGTGACTTCCAGAACAGTATGTAAGACTGGGACTGGCTTGCTTTGTCCTCCATCCGACCCAAGCCCGGGTCACGGGTCGTCAAAAAGCTGAGCCCGACCTGATACAACACTGCCCGCACTTGATTTAAAGCGGTAACACTCATTTGAGGTTCAGCACAAGTAGAGAATGCACATAATATGGCTCTGAACACATTTTGACCAGTATCCGACCTCTTGACTGAGAGGTCCATTTTTTTTTCCGGCCCGGCGGCCAAACCTACCTACCTGCCCCTTCTCCCGGCTTGACCGGCCCGGAGCCCCTTGCCCTGGTGTATGGAACACGCGACTGCAACTTAATACCGTGTTACCTGAATTTGTCAGGCGAGATGGCAGTGCATCAGGAAAATCTGAAATGCTATGAAGTGTAGGTGAGTATTATGAGGGTCTATCATGGTCTATCATGGTCTTTCCATTTTGCACACAGTTTATGAGGGTCTATGAGGGTCTATGGTGGGCTATATAACTGTTGCCTGAACTCTCATAGTCTATGGTTGTTCTTAGTCTGATTATCTGATATTTGGTAGAAGTCAAAAAATAACATCATTCAGTCCAAAATATTCCGAAGTATGGACCGAGTTGAGAGAGCTGTTCTCCTGAATATCTTTCTGAATGCTATGCTGAACGTACGGAAGCCGAGTGAACAATCCCGCTACCAAGGAGAAATTGGAATGCCCATTCTGTGAGCAAAATTTAAACACTTGAACAACATTTTCAACGGACCTCCCGGCACCGGCGCACTTCGGTTTGAGGCAAATCTCGGTGTCGCGCTAGTGTCGCGCGGCCAACACACAAGTCAGAGTCGCTTATTGAAGCGAGCACCGACAAAGCGCCGAGAACTGCCACATGATCCATCAAGTCAAATTCAAGCTCCGCAATCACGACGCGCGTCTCTTTGGTTCATTGTTTGGCCTCCTTTTCTCTTCTTCCCCCCATCTCTCCTCTTCGAGTATCCACCATTGGGCTGCCCTTCGCACCTCAATCTTCGCTCCAAGCCTCTCTTTGGTCATCCAGTGATTCTGCGACTCATCCTCACGACTCATCCTCGTGCATCCAGCTCAAGACCGGGACCCGTCGCAGAGGCGGCTCGCTGTCGTCTTCAGAGGCTCAAATCACCAATATCAAAATTTAGCCAATCATATCACTTCGCCTGGAATTTCCTTGCTCGTCTGATGCTTTGTGCTCGACTCTTTCTGTTCATACTGCACTGTGGTTGTTCCGGCGATCAAATCCTTGTCGGTCGCAAGACTCAAGTCTTTCAAGATGCATCAACTTCAAGTTTCTGCCGTGGGGGCCCCAGTCAAGAAGATTCAATTTTTATTCTGTTTTAAGACCATTCAAGCTGTCGCAAGTAATCGTACACTTTCAAGTTGTCGCAACGGCAAGCTGCCGCAATTCTTTTGCATCACGTATGCTCTCTCGCGCGACTGTACCTGGAGTCCCTCCGCAAGCTTCCAATACCAAATTCACTTCTCATGGTCCCTCCATGATCTCCGCTCATATTTAGAATTCTGGATTCACGCTAGCGTTCATGTTGTATCCGTACCTTGTTCACTTATTGCTTCGTCTATGAATAAAATGTTTTATTCCTTCTTCTTTGTCTTCTGAGTACTGGTATTAGAACTGTTTTAAAACTATGCTGGCTATCGTGTCTATGTAGTTATATAGACTATATAGACTGGCAGGCGTCTATCTATGTCTATGGAAAAAAATACCCCCCTCCCACCTGTCTATCATAGACAGCCTTGTGATTTCATGTCTATGGTGTCTTTTTTGGTCTATCTGGGTCTCTGAAGCAATTTCAGATTTTCCTGATGTGGTTCGACCCCCCGCGGTGCCCTGCAGTCTTCCTCATCGTTTTTTATAACTCGTGGCCCGTGGACGCGGCCATAAAATCGATTAACACCCCGGGAATATCGCCATAGACCAAGGAAAGCATCGTGGTGTACGGAACACGCGCTGGAACTCTTAATCGGGCGCACATAGTTACTACGGCGAGACGGGGTTCGACTCCCGCGGTGCACTGTTGCACTCGCCAACCCTTTTAATTATGTTTTTGGACCCTGCCAAAATCCTCCCACATTAAGACCATCCCCACAGCGAGAGCAGAGCACCGTGGTGTACGGAACACACGCCGCACGACTCAATCGTGTCGGACGAGGTAGAACGGCGAGATGGGGTTCGACTCCCCGCGGTGCACTAATAGTGGGGCTTATTGCTCTCTTTTTATTATATTTGGGTCCTGCCAAAACCCATTCACACCTGAAGACCCGCACTGCAGCTGCAGGAACGCATTGTGGTGTACGGAACACGCGCCGGACGTTTAGGCGGGTGAATGCGTTAGCCGGCGAGACGGGTTTCGACTCCCCGCGGTGCCTTGCGTATGTACTAAGCATTTTTGCCCGACGCATTTGAATCAGTAATAAATAACTTCAACTGAGGTTGAATTCAGGGAGAGAGAAAGCACCATGGTGTACGGAACACGCGCCGGACGTTTAGTCAGACCAAATACGTTAGCCGGCGAGCCGGGGTTCGATTCCCCGCGGTGCCTTGAACGCTCCAAAGATGTTTTCCCCCCCCTCCATCCAACGCTTTTGAGTTTAGGTAACCAATGAGTTCAGGTTGAATTCAAGCATAGAAAAGCACCATGGTGTACGGAACACGCGCCGGACTTCTCGCCATGCTCTCAGTACATATATATCCGGCGAGAAGGGGTTCGACTCCCCGCAGTGCCTTGATCGCTACCCAACGCACATTTTTCCCCAACATGTTTGAATCGGAATAGCATCAATGAAGGTTGAATTCAGGGATAGGAAAGCACCGTGGTGTAGGGAACACACGCCATCATTGTAACAGAGAGATTTCACCCGTCAGCCGGCGAGCCGGGGTTCGACTCCCCGCGGTGCACTAATTGTGGGGTTTATTACTCTCTTTTTATTATATTTAGGTCCTGCCAAAATCCATTCACACCTCAATACCATCCGCACAGCTAGAGCAGAGCACCGTGGTGTACGGAACACGCGCCGGATGGTTCGGCTTCAACAATGTCACTATCAAGCCGGCGAGACGGGGTTCGACTCCCCGCGGTGCACTAAAGGCTCTTTCCAGCCCTTTTTTCCTCCGGCTTGGCTCGGATTTGTTCTCAGATGATAGTCAGCTCCCAGCGCTCTCCACCTTTTTTCCTGTTCCTATGAGTATTTACACCGGTACCCTGTTTCGAGCTCCTCATCCATCGTCCATCGTTCAACTGAATCAACCCGACGCCTGTCAAACCGACGGCCGAACCCAACTCGGAGAGGCGACGGGCAGGTCAAACAAATGGCCCTTGCGCGGCTTGCATCTAACTTACTGGGATTCTTTTAATTTCTGGCTGTCAGAGGCGTCAGAAAACGTACTAGTGCCTTCTGTCAGGGGCAGGGCGCGCCGCCCGCTCACTGTGTCCGCCACACGCGCTCTTCCTGAAGGCTCCACACCCAAATTTAATCGCACACGGCAAGTTCGTCAAACGCTCTGAATCCTTTGATCCAATTCCAAGACTCTATCTACCATACAAAATACACGAAGATAAAAAACAATAAATGCGATCCAATCCAATGCAATCCAAGGCAAGGAGGTATAACGAGCGGTAGGCTACAGGCTGTAAGCTAGGTGGGTGGTGTCAATGTAAATGTGTGTGTCAATGTAAATGTGTGTGCTAAAGATACAGTGGTGCGGGCGAGCGGGCATAGTCATATATGGGTTTTTGAAAATAGAGAGGAAAGAGAGAGGGAGAGGCTAGACGGCGTCGGCGGCGTCCCGGACGTGCGCCGGTGCGGGCGCGGGGGGGATGGGCGCGTGGTACACGGACGCGCGGTGCAGCGAGGACACCTCGATCTCCTCCGCGTCCGCGTCCGCCTCCACGGGCGTCTGCGGCCGGCTCGGGCTCCCGGCGTCGGAAGAAGAAGAGGAAGAGGAGGCGTCCGACGAGGGGAACGACGACGGCGGGGAGAGGGACGTGGGCGAGGAGTACTCGGGCGGCACCGCGTGCACCGCGTGCATGGGCAGCGTGGGGAGCAGCCCGCCGACGTCGTTGAGCGTGAGCGCGCCGAACGACTTGTCCTTGTCGAACGCCGAGTCGCCGCCGAAGGACTTCTCGCCGTCGACGTAGGAGAGGCCCGCGAAGGACGCGGAGACGTCCGAGAAGGACGTGTCCGAGTCGAATGACGCGCGGCTGCGCGCGTCGCGCTTCTGCGAGGTCTCCTTGCGGATGAACACGGGGAGCGTCGAGGCGAGCCCCGCGGCCTTCGCGTTGGACTTCGAGCTGCGTCTGCGCCAATTATCAGCACACGCACTGGAGGGAAGGGGAATGGGGGGGACGCGCCCGTTGGAGGAGAGGACGCCCGAGGACGACGTGGTGGCCTGGCTGTACCCCACGCGCTTCACGACGCTCCAAAACGCGCCGCGGTAGTTCTTGATCGCCTCGTCCGTGAACCCAAAGTACCCAAAGAGCAAAAACGCGCGCGCGACCGTCGCCCAGCGCGTCGTCTCCAGGTTCAGACGAGGCCGACGAGGATGGGCGGGAGGTGGAAGAGACAATCGCGACGGGCGTCTCGAAGGTCTCGCCGAGGCAGCCGATGTCCTCGAAGATGTTGTAGCGGTGGCCCTGCACGATTTATTCTGTGGGCTGGGTGAGTACGTATACGTGGTGACCAAGAAAAGGTGTATGTGCGCACGGAGGGGGATCTGCAGGATCGAGAGCCCGAGCTCGATGGCGAGGTCGATCATGATCGCCGGGGGTTTCTGCGCCCTCGTCAGCCCGCGCTCCAAAACGAATAAGAGAGAGATGAACACGCCTCAGGCCCTCAGCGCGAGTCTTGGTGACGCTGCGCACGGACGCAATCTGGTAGAGGCGGCGGCTGATACAGAGGGAGCAGGCGGGGATGGCGAGGTTGAAGCCGTTGAGGAAGTATGTGCTGATGTCGCATCATAGACTCGTTACCAGTCTGCTTACAAATGGCAAAAAAATGTGGCAAGCACTTACGGCAAAGAGCTCGCCTCATTTTTTTGCTGTTCATAGGCAGACTGGTTACGAGTCTAGTCGCACCACGCGGGCGACCAGTCGATCATGTTGTTGCTCCAGACGATCGAGTCGACGAAGAAGACGAGGGACGCGAGCGCGGTCCACAGCATATAGAGGCACGTCCCGGTCTTCCACCCCTCGAGGTGCCACGGGAGCGGGATCGCGCTGCAGAGGAACCCGACGAAGGCGAACGCGGAGAACACCCAGTTGGGCGGGCCGGAGTAGAAGTAGGCGGCCATGACGGAGGTTGCATTCAAGGATAGAAACGCACCATGGTGTATGGAACACATGCCACTCCTGTGAAGGGCTTTCGTTGAAGGGTATCTGGCGAGAAGGGGTTCGACTCCCCGCGGTGCCTTAAGTCTGAATTCTGGAGTAACTGTTTTTTGCCCCAACGCAATTGAATCGGCAATGAGGAGCATAAAGTAAGGTTGAATTCAGGGAGATGGAAGCACCGGGTATACGAAACACGCGCCGGACGGGAAGCTCGCGGTCAATGCCTTGAGCCGGTGCACGTGAGACGGGACTCCTCGCGGTGCGCTGTTTGGTTTCTTCTCTTTTATTATAGTGTGGCCTCTAAAATCCACCCACACCTCAAGACTACGCCTGCAGGTATTGAAAAGCACCGTGGTGTACGGAACACGCGCCGAAACTCTGAGTCAGGTACAAACCGTTACGACGAGACGGGGTTCGACTCCCCGCGGTGCACTGATTATCACAAATATCCCTTTATTTTTTAAGGCCCTGACTCAAAAATTGTTCACACCTCAATGCCATCCTCACAGGCATAGAAAGGCACCGTGGTGTATGGAACACGCGCCAGGCCTCTTCGCCAATCGGAAGGGAACGCAACAGCGAGCATTCCAGAGTTAACCTAACTATCCCGGAGAGGATTAGCACAATGAACACCCCAATCGCGGTGTGACCCTTAATGAGCTAGAACTGAGATCCGCTACAGTTTACTTTCTCTGGTAATTTAAACGCTTACATTCAAAGAGTCGGGTTTGCTCCATGTGCAATGAGAAGCTTCTCTATTTCTGGCATGTTACCAGCAGATGCAGCTCGTAGCGCTGTGCCGAACTCCCCACCTTCCAATATGATGATGTTAGTAATATCTTGTTGAACTCGAAGACTCGGAGCATCTTCACCTCGAACATTCACGTCCGCACCTCTCTCAATAAGCAGTTGTACGACATCGAGGTGTCCAGCATACGATGCTGCTTGGAGGGCCGTTCCGTACTCGCCACCTTCAAGTGCATTAATGGTATGATCTAACGCTCAAGAAACGACCTAACCTAGGGTATTTATGTTGGCCCCTGCCGTAAGAAGTATGTTGACGATCTCTATATCTCCGGACTCCGAGGCCGCTTGGAGGGCCGTCCCGTACCTGCCACCTTTCACAATCATGTGGGGGTAATGCTCTCCGAATGGGAGTTATCCTCACTTAGAATATTTGGGTCTGCCCCGCTCTGAAGGAGCAACTTGACAACCTGCACGTGTCCTGAATCCGAGGCTGCTTGGAGCGCCGTTCCGTATTTCCCCCCTTGTAGTATCGTGTTACTATCACTTCTCGTAAGTAAAACACGCCCACCTTGGCCGTTCACGTCTGCACCCTTTTCAACAAGGAGTTGCACGATATCCAAGTGTCCTGAATCGGAGGCTGCTTGGAGCGGGGTCCCGTACTTGCCGCCTTCCAAAATTATCTCAGTTCTAGGTCCTCTGGATCGCACATATCATCACCTTGAAGATTGGGGTCTGCCCCATTGTCAATAAGAAACTTGACAATCTGAAGATGTCCCGAATCCGACGCTGCTTGAAGCGCCGTTCCGTAATCGCCGCCTTCCCATATAAGGTCATTGATAGGTCTCGCGACGGTATAAAAACACCACCTTGACCGTTTACGTCCGCACCCTTCTCAACAAGCAGCTGGACGATGTTCAAATGTCCTGAATCCGACGCCGCTTGCAGTGCCGTGCCGTACGCGCTACTCTCTGGTACCATGTTATTAGCGCGCCATGCCGTCAAAAAAGAAAATACCTACCGCCGTTGACATCTGCACCCTTCTCAACAAGTAGCTGGACAATCTCCAGATGTCCTGAATCCGAGGCTGCTTGGAGCGCCGTTCCATACTCGCCACCTTTGATATCATGTTGGTGCGACACATCTCTCAACTAAGCAACACCAACCTTGACTGTTTAGACCTGCGCCGTTCTCAATAAGCAGATGGACAATTTCCAGATGGCCCCGAGCTGACGCTGCTTGAAGAGCTGTCCCATATTTCCCCCCTTTGGTTAAGCTGTTAAAGGAACGTTCCCAGGATCGAAAACGCCCACACCTTGAGCATCGACCTCGCCTCCCTTGTCAACAATCAGCTGTATGATCTGCAGATGCCCCGAATATGACGCTGCTTGGAGCGCGGTCTCGTACTTGCCCCCTTCCAGTACCATTCATATCGATGTCATACACTCGAAACCGAAAAGGAATACTCACCGTGAGCGTTGACATCTGCTCCCTGTTCAATGAGCAACTTTACGATGTCTTGATTTCCTGCAAACGATGCTGCTTGGAGGGCTGTACCGTACCAGCCGCCTTCGAGCCTTAAGAGCGGCCATTCCCTCTGATTTAGAGACACACCCACCTTGAGCATTGATCTCCGATTCCGCCTCAAGCAGCTGCCTAACAATTTCCTGATGCCCTTCATACGACGCTACATGGAGCGCTGTCCCGGCCATCGTACCTTCAGGTAAGTGCCATCTTAGCGGGACGTCTTCACCAAGAACAAAACCCTCACCGCAGGCGTTCAGGTCTGCTCCCTTCGCAATAAGTAGCTTCACAATGTCGAGATTTCC